GGGGGGTAACCTGACTCTCTGGATTCTGTCGCTTCTTCAGTCGCAGTTAATCAGCACGGCCATTGAGAGTTCACCGCTGATTTTACAGACAGGCACATTAACCACTGTCACCAGAGGTGCAATAAACGGATTTTGGACATTTTAATAATATGAGCATCTGGATAGACGAGGTATATTAGGTAGGATGCATTGCTAGAGGCCAACGATATGCAGACAATGAAGTTAAGACATAGGTCTCACTTAATGTGAATTTGACGCCTATAGATGTACATATCAAGAAAAAGGAGTGGCACAGGATTCAATTTTCATCACTTGAATGCCAAATTCCTGAGTGAACGGTTGCCCATTTTATTCAGATCTCAATGGCCTGACCGCACCCAATTAATTTCTCTTCCCAGTACGGCCAAAAAATACAGTTTTACGCGTAACAGAGCACGATTCGTTAAAATTGTCTCAAGGTGAACGTAACTTTTCAGTGAGCCTAACGTTTCTTTTGAGGCTCATGAAGGAAATTAAACTCTGTCATGAAAGTACGAGAAGGAGTAAATACTTATTTTAAAGACGCCTGCATTATTGAACACTATCAGCGACGCGAAAATGTCGACAAGGCGAACTTCTTAAATTCGCCAACTGATCTCTGAACTGAAATTTATCATCCTCATTGCCAATACAATTCCATCAACTAATTGAGTCTCCGCCTTCCATTATTTTAATTTTTTAGCCAATTTACCGAATAAGTCAGTCGGGGAACACCACTCACTTTAGGCAAGAATCGATAAGTCATGTCTCGTTTTTAGAATCGCTTAGTCACTTATTCACGAAATGCCAACAGGTATACATTGGAATGATAGGTAGATAACCATTGTTTCAATTTTCAGAAAAATAATAGGCAAAGATTAAAGCGGAGCTAATGCATATTCATTTCGACTGAAATAAATAGATGATTATTCGACTTTATTTTTCGTCTTACCCTTGAACGACATTTACGGTACCACTCCCTCTCCCCTCTAATATTTGTCAACAAGACATCATACCAATCTTTAGCTAAAATGAAGCTCCATTGACAGTTGACGGTATAAATGAATTAACTTATTAAATCAAATTAGTTAGCAAATCAATATGTGCTGTATGTTGAAATCTTACGTGTTTCATTCAACCAGCTGAGCCATTTAAATGCTTCGGAATTTCTCTAAAGTAGCTATTATCCTATTGTTTATCTTATTAAAAAATGTAAACGCGGAGGTAAGCCAAATATAGCAATTAATGAAGGAAGATATATCCAATGTCAGAGGAGATGACATATATCACTTCATCTCCCCAAAAACGTCCTCTAAAGTACACAAACTTCGCAATGCCACCAGCTAAACAGGAGTATTATTTCAGCAGAAAACGGTTTCCTAACGGAATAATACTTCCATGTTGGCATCATTACATTCCAACCAATATTGAACATATTTTTTCAAGGAGTAAAAGCGTTAAAAGAAAGTGGTATTATGCGGATGAGGACTTAACAAATTTGAAGTAAGGAAACTGTATGATAGAGTTTTAGAAGTGAATATTTAATTGCTTATTTTATGAGTGAAATTTCATGTTGATAACCTAGACCTGTTGCAAAGTTCGGATTCTATGTTGATCCCTACACTTATGGTCTGCAAGTTTCGCATAGAAATCAATTAAATCGTGAATCCGTAGGTTAATTTAACCTTCTATTCAGTTGCGTTTACATAATTTTAAAAAAATATATCATATCAAAATCATTTTTATCTTCTATAAGATTTGAACAAAGATTTGATTATTAGAAAGACAACAAACAGTTATTTTCAAAATTAAGTAGCTGGCTGTTTGATTTAATAAATGGTGGCAGTGTTATGCTGTCAAATAATGAATTGTTGATTCAAAATCTCTATTAATATTTTAAAAATCCCTAATGATTAGATATTAATTTACTTAGGGATATCTATAGTAGATCCAACATAAATAAGTCTGTACAAAGCCTCAGCAAATTTCCATTAGTAAAATCACCCATCCATCGTAACAAAATAACTTATGAAATGAATAGCGTTTATTGCAGCTTATGACCAACTACCCCAAAACTTAGTTATTAAAATACAATTGGTACCGCGCCACATTGCAGTGACTATTGATTGCTGGTTAATTGAGAGATCTCTGCGCTCATTTGGTCCTTACGCTATCAGTAGCACGGACTCACCTTCCAGACTAGTCTAGTGAGCATAAGATTCCTTTCTTACCAGACTTGATAGCGTTGTGTACTTTTCATATCAGAAAATAACAAGTAAATATTATTTGAAGTGCTTGTGCATTTGATTATTCCATCTTTGTATTAGGAGTTCTACAATACTTCAAAGTATGTCTTATGGGCAAAATTTTGTTCATTTACTTGATCTTTTCCATTCAAACTTTGTAGGGGACGGTAAAAAGTTTCCCTTGCAGTACTCACTGGTCCTGAGAGGAGAAGGTATCTCCTGACATTTTTAGTCCTCTTTATAATATGCAAATGAGTAAAATTGGGGGTAGATTAAACATGTGAGGTGCTGATGGGAATAAATTACGTGTTATATTGTTTTGATAGCATCTATTGCTCTTGGAAGATATCGGGTGAAGACACAGTTGCCTTGGGATAGCTTGAAATACCTTATCAGATTAATTGATCTTAGGTATTTTATCGTGACTACATGCATACGTGCCAAACGCGAAGGATTTATTTCATTAACTGAAGGACGGTAGTAATTCCTATTAGGAATTTGTGTGCTACCCTAATTCTATCATAAGGCTTCATTTTAAAACCCTAGTTATCATGTATTTCAACATATTCTTCAGATGCTCTTCGTCTGTGTACTAGAAGAGCCACCTGACCCTTTGACCGGGCGTGGAGCGTCATTCTATGAACTTCACGAAGTTCACATTCATCCTAGTGAATTGGATGAGACACAGGTTGCTCCAAATAACCTGGAAGTTCTCCTCACCTTTGAAACAGTTGCATATGACCCTTTTCCACCTGGTAAGAACTTACGTTGTACAAATGGAAAAGTTTTGTTTGAATGGTAGTCGTTGTTAGTGGTTGTACACTTAGGGAACTTGAAGTCACCTTTGGTTTCCATTAATATTCATCAACAACCTAAATTCGATTTTTGATTTTTTTCAAATTTTCTGCCTTCACTCTATTCTGTTCACTAGGTGTTTTATTATCTTTGAGTTTATTGTTAATCCTCTTACTTTATTTTATTACGTTTTACGAGGTCTGCTCTGTACTTATCGATAGACCAACTTTAAAGTATGTGCTAAATACGGTATTTTGTTGGGATACTCACTATTAAAACTTTTTTTCCAAGCGCATCTTTTAGTTTTTGTCTATATTTTGTCGCAAAAATGTCTCATGCAATGCCTGCTACAACTAGGTTGCAGTCATACAATAGGAATGCTGGAAAACCAAATTCAACTCTGTTACAGAAGACTTAGTAAGCAATTCGCTCTTCCTGAACTCCGAGGTCATCATGAGGGCATCTTCATCCATCAAGTTGGTTCAACCGTTTGCCTTATTTTCACTTAAATACACACAGTATAGAAAAATTAGCAAAAAAAAATTAGAATAATTATCAAATCTAATTATCAATAATTGAAGTAATAACAAATCTACGCTTGATTAATTTTCTTATCTTCGTTCTTCCAGACTGATAGAGACCCTGGAACTGAACTAGTGCCATATACTCAAGATACGGTTATAAGCATTGCAAAGTTGATCTGCGCCAAGTATGAATGCGAGACCAAAATTAAGTCTAGCGTATTTCCGACAAAAAGCATCTCAGGTAAAATAAACATGTTCTAAATTAAAATTAAAAGAAAAATAACACAACAGTCAGGAATATATTTTATGTCTGCGAATGCAATCACAAAATACTTGTTTTAAGGAATCAGTGTAGGAGGTAACAATATTTATTTCAAATGGCGGGCGTTATGATAGTTATCATTAGCCATTTAGCTGACTTCGGGCTTCACAGAAGGAAGGTTCATCAAAGTGGCAGAAAGTCGAGGGGTGGGGAACAGAAGAGCGATTCACAGATGTACAAGAGGCAGACAGACACAAAGGTAGAGAAAAAGGTAAGATAAGTATTGTGGAAGGGGTCGAATATGACAAGCAGTCGGGCCATGGTAGTTTGAAGTGAGAAGTCAACTGCCGATTGATAGACTTTTTTGCCGTATGAGTATACGTTGCCCAGGGTGCACCACGTGGAGGTAAGGTAACAAAATTGAAATTGGATAAATCTGAATGACAATTGAATATTTTTGATACCCAAAATAGACACTTGGGAAAAAAAGTAGCGAATATCTTGGTTAAACGCAGCAAAACGCACTTTGATCCCCAGTAACTCTGCTATGGATGCATCAGCATTGAACATTATGGCAGCTTCATCTTTTTATCCACGAATATTAAATACTTTGACGAGTAACTCGAGTGAGAACTGGCAACTGCTCTCTTAACACCCAAATTTTGCTTTGTTTACACGTGCATTTGTGTGTGCAATTAGTTTCTTCGAAGATAAAATCATAAAGCGATATTAAAATTTTTGTCACTAGTGAAGTGTGCAGTGGATCGCTAGACTAATAAGCAACAACTATACTCAGAAATTTCTATGGCAGATTCTCCCATGTTTTGGAAAGACTCCCAGAACTAGATAAGCTAACGCGAAGATATAGAGGAAATAGAAGTATCGCACCGAACACATTTATTTGATCAGCGGTGACAATGTTGTGTGCTTTACAGGTGGAAAGCAAAGTTGGGGGATTTAAGTCTTGAAAACAATTGAATTTTTTCTGCTAACAACCGATGCTGCACCATCCTAACACATAAAGTTCTAAAATATCAGATAGTGGTGTCACCTTCATCGTAGGAGTAACAGTTCTGAATAAACCCCAATTTACAGCTCAACGGGCATCGCAGGAAAGTAAAATCCAGAGGTATAATAAGCGATGTTAGGTGATGTTTTAAAAGTGCAACTTACAATTTTAGTGGTGCCTCACTCCGTAAAGAACAAAAAGGGAGGAAAAGACGAAGAGGAGAGCAATCCAAAAGTAAGGGAACCATGGAGGGATCCAGAGGAGAATCTACTGGATAATCCAATTTCCAACTTACGAAAGTGGTCTCCACTTTTGAGCTTCAGATTCTCCAATCCGAATGTAAGGCGATGAAATTTCATTTAATCTAAAAGAGTTGGAAAAGGTAATGACAAGAAATGTATTGCTTAAATTTTACGTGTATCGTCCCCCTCCCCCCTCCTATATTATAACTATCATTTAGGATTCCCAGAGAGGAGGAAAATCAAAGTCACAAAAAGTGGAGAGGGAGAAACAAATGAGTGATTTACAGATGTAAAAGTGAGACAGACACAAAGGTAGAGAAAAAGGTAAGCCGAGGTGGGGACTGTGGAAGTGGAAAAATTTAACACACAGTGGGGTTATGTTAGTTCGAAATCAGAAGTCAACTACCGGTTTATGGACTTTTTTTGCCGTATGAGTATATGCTGCCTAGTATACACCACGTGGAGGTAAGTCTATCACACACCCTAGGAGAGCGATATAGAATAGTGGAAACCAAGTTATAGATCTCCCCAACTGTACGTCCTCAGATATCACAAAATGTAGATAGAGTGGGTAACAGGAGGAGGAGAGTGACACTATTCCAAGGGTCAGGCAGTGGGGGTGGGGAGCGTCGCAGGTCGGACGTAGTGCAAGAGCTAAAAGTAGTCAATATAATATGTTACTGAAGGAGTTTGAGTAGAAATCTTATCTTATTTTCGAAATCCGTTTGTTATTGTTATTTCAGCACAGGATTAAGTCCAATTGTTGTGCTTTGCTATTTCATTAATTTAAAACAGCAAACAATTGTTAAATTTTCCAAAATCCCTCCTTTCAGATGGATTGTGAGAAACTAAAATATATGTTCGATGTTACAACTGCTCAGAAGGATGGTCGGGAAAGAGCACTACGAGACTGGACTCAAAACTCTGAACTTTCTACATTTTCGGAATTCCTGTCGATGTTTTACTGGAGGTTAATGAGAGTTAACTTTTTCTATATGCCCTTTCTCACTTGCAAATTTGCACAATGGAGTCCGAACGGTCAGTAACAGATCACATGATGAACATCTGTGGGACATGGTGATTGGTATGGATGATTGTTAATGCCATAGTAGGAAAGTATGGAAATTAAGACTAGGTGGGTTCTCTCCCCCCAATATGAGCTAAGTTGCTCATCGTTTTCGTTTGAGATCATGCTCATTAAGCTTTTCCATTCCATTTTCTCCCATAAGCGTTAGCGTGAAGTATTAGAAGTATCTTGCAAAGATTCTTAGAGGACTCTTTCTGACAATCGCATCTTTTGACGGAAGGAATAAGTTTATTTTACTCAGATCGTTGTGACTTACTTGGCCCATGTTAAAATGAGCTAAATTAAAACTGCGCAAACTTGAAATAGAATCCATAGTCAACAAGCTTATTTACCTTTGATTCAGTGGAATGAAATACATTTATGCAAATACTTGGCGGTCTTATTTACATTGATTTTAAACTGAAAATAGCCATCAGTGTTATTGACATCTATTATTATTATTGCCTATTTACTTCAGGAAACAAGACAGACCTCATGCGATGTATTACGCTCCTGTTTTCTGTGCCGCTCATTCTACAGAATGGAGAAATTCTTTCGGTAATTCTCTATGTTTAGAATAGAAGTTCATTAATAATGCGACACAATTTTAATGGTAAATAAAATTTAAAATACAAGCATGAGCTTGGAAGCATTGTTGTCAAAATGTTCCTCGGCACAAACGATTAGCTATTCGTGGCTGTCAAATTGCCAGACCCAACGGCGAAAATGTCTGTTTTAGAAACCTGTAAAACAGAAAGTGATAACAATTATTAATAGTAAACTATTTATATCAAAAGACAGGGTTTATGATAATTACCATTAACCCTTTAGATGCCTTCGGGTTTCATTGAGGGGGAGTAACAGACAAGGTCACAAAAAGTGGAGAGAGTGAACAGTAGAGTGATTCACAGATGTAAAAGAGACAAAGGCATAGAAAAGAGTAAGGTGAATTCTGTGGATGTGATGGAATATGACCTACAGTCGGGCTATGGCTACTTGAAGTCAGCTGCCAGTTTATAGATTTTTTTTGCTGTATGAGTATACGTTGTACATGGTGCTCCACGTGGAGGTAAGTCTATCTTACTCACCTATAAGTAAAATATTTATTTATATCAGGCGTCTTGATGGTTATCATTAGCCCTTTGGTTGACTTCAGAATTCACAGATGGGAAGGAACATCGAATTGAAAGAGTCGAGAGGGGGGGGACAGAAGAGTGTTTCAAACATATAGATGAAATGTGAGGTGAGTACTGTGGAAATAGTCGAATATGGCATAGATTGATGTGATGGTAGTATGAAGTGAGAAGTCAACTGCTAGTTAATAGACTATTTGCCGCATAAATATACGTTGCCCAGGGTGTCCCACGTGGAGGTAAGTCTATCGCCCACCCCAGAAGTAAAATATAATTCTTTGAATACAATACACCTACTGAGGTGTCGTTTACCAATTAAATTGGTCATTGTCAAATAGCTATTATCATCTCAAAACACTCAGTAATAAATAGGCTTTTTTTCTCATCCAGGTGAAGCAAAGTCGGACGCCATTTTCTACCCATTTCGTGGTTTTACATTTGTCTGGTATGCGAAGTGGTTAAAGCCAAAAGAAACTCAAAACTACCTCTTTTATACACGTGTGAGAACAGTGACCATTTCCATCAAGAGCTCTTCGGGTGATTATATTGGTATGGCTTTCGAGTGCACTGAAGAAGAATGCGAGGTAAACAAAGAACTTGATTTTTTCCCGATTATATGCACTGTAATCTATCTGAAAAGAGTTAGTAATAAGAGAGTTCAATTAAGCATTCAACCGAACGTAGATTAGACAACTCGTGCACAAATCGTTGTGAACGCCTTCTCGGTAGTGAATGCTTTTTTTCAGTTGCACTTCGAGCACAAAATTAATGCAAATAATGGAACAAAAACAACTTATCGACTTCCTGGTAATCAGTCCCTTCTGCAGCCACTTGAAACGCAGGCTTCCACATTCGCGCTTATTCTCGATGGACCTGAATTCATACTCGATAGCAGGAATCTGTTCTACAGACGTCTTCGTCTCATCTGCGATGGTTTGACAGTCATGACAGCGCGATATCGTATTCCAGGGACGATTTATTCCTCCTTGAAACCAGACACATTCACTACTTCTGCAATGCCTTTCTATAAGTCCTGGGGCGACCCCTTTAAGGTCATTATCAGGGTAAGCACAGTTTGAGGCATTGACATTTTATTTCTAATTTTTTGACCATATTACTCATTGTGCTCATTCATGCGTTTAACAGGTACCTGCATTTTTGAGATTTCGGCGTAATTTGTAAAGGGATATTGTGTGTAGACCGAAGTGTTTAAAATTTTATTCTCATCTTATTCTCGAAGTCGATCGATAACTTGGAGTAGTTTTAATGATATTTAAAGCAGGCTAAAGCTTGGCAGTTAGCAGCGCTTAACAGCAAGAAAACTTGATTTTTTGCAACTAAGTTTAGCTTTAATAAGTTTTGTATTCACAAGATAAGAAAAAGACGCAAGCAGTTCCTGAAGACTCAGTCTACAAGCAATAAAGAAGATGCCCATTAAGCTATTGGTTAGTAGAATAGAGAAAAGCTCAATGTAGAAGAGTTAGATGAAAAGGATATAACTAAGACTAACTACTAGGGTCGTAGAGCCTACTCAAATCCGAAGATAGTGCAGGAATCATGGTCTAAACAGGTATTTAAATGTGAAAGTGGCTGAAAGTCTGTAAAGACTCATGAATTACGCCGCGCTAAGCTCATAGTTCGGCTTCCTTATTGGTTCACTTTGGGTGCCAAAGTTTTGCCTAACAAGATTTCGAGATTACTTCTAAGATCTTAAATCAATGAGCACACCCAATTAGTAATTAAGCACAAATAAGCCAGAGAGTCATTATCACCCTCACGATAAGCCTCATAAGCCTCTGAAAATGTTGCTAAATGCCTAACAATATAAAAAGAACAAAATGTATGGTGAAATATATTTATTTATATCAAATGGCAGGCGTTTTGATAGTCATCATTAGCCCTGGAGCGGACTTCGGTGCTTCGCAGAGAGGAGAAGGGACATCAAAGTGACAACTTCAGGCTTCACAGAAAGGAAGATGAACATCCAACTGGTGCTTCACAGAAAGGAAGATGAACATCAAAGTGGCAAAAATCCTTCACAGAAAGGATGAGGAACACCAAAGTGGCAAAAAGTCATACATTGGGAGACAGAATAATGATTCACAGAGGTAAAAGAGACAGACAGACATAAAGGCATAAAATAGGTAAGATGAGTACTGTGAAAGGGCGGAATATGACAAATAGTCGGGCCATAGTAGTTGAAGTCAGAAGTCAACTGCCGATCAATAGACTTTTTTGCCGTATAAGTATACGTTGCCCAGGTTGCACCACGTGGAGGTAAGTCATGGTGAAATATATCGTAATTAGTCTTTTTATTGGCTTCAAATGCCGAGAATTTCAGGGTTATTGCTTATTCTAACCTTCTTCTTGCGTGTTCTATTGAATACCCAGGCTTACAACTGGCCAATGTATGACCTTATAACCAGCGCGACGACGAGGAGAAAACTAGCGTGGACTACGCCTTCTATACCTTGTGAAAAAACATCCAAACTTCCGGTATTTGTTCCACTAGAGACAATTTCTTACCCTGAGGACATTTCCAAATTTATAGAACCTCCAAATTCGGCAACGCAAGTGCCATTAGTCTTTTTCTTGCATACTCAAGTTCACTAAAATTAAAAAGTTAGCGGATTATTTTTTATCAGCCTGGAAGCTAGAAAGTTTCCAAGAGAGTTATTAGTTCCCATGGAGTTCGGAGGGGAGGGGGGGGGGGGGGGGGGGGGGGGGGGGTTGTATGATTCAAACATATTACAAAGCCCTTACATTTAATTGCTCTTGAGAATCTAATTCATTTATTGTACTTTTCAAACTTTAGGACGTTTTACTGGGCCGCTAACTTCCGTGCATGCACTTCGGCTTGCCTGGAAGCTGGAAAATTAAGGAAGGGCAGAGAATACAACAGTCGACAATTCATGTGCACTACCGGTCGACAAGGCAGTGAATTGATCAGTTGTGATCCGTTCATGTCCATGCCAATAAAAATAGAACCGTGGACAGAAAGTTCGTTAAAAATATATTGTTTCTTCTTTATTAATAGCAGTATTCAATAGTGTATTAGGAATTATCTAGTCGAAGGAAGGAGATAACTTTCAGTTATTTAGTGCAATGGTAATGGAATAGGATAGAGTGCTCATTTTATCAAATAAAGTACCAAAATTACACTGAAAACGCATGAGCTATGGGCATAACCGGATTGTAAGGGTTGGATCAAATGTCCATCATGCCTGAAACCACACCTTCGACTTTATCAGTCAGGAAAATGTTGCTCTCGTTCGGGAGCAGTTGATAATTCTGAGTTCATAAAAATTGTCATGCTTATAATGCTCGTATATAGCTCGTGATCGGTGAAAAATGTACCACCATCATCAGTTAGATTGCAAACGATTTCGATTTGACCGAGAGAAATTGTGGTGTAAGTGTTTTACTTTCTAATGGGGATCATTATATAGTTAGGAAAAGCTAATATGAAAGAGACCAAAGTGAAAAAAACGTGAAATATGGATGTGCTAAACAGGCAATCATCATTATTGCAACATTCGAGCGGCAGTGGCCACTTTGCCTTATGGTCATAATCTTTTCAATCTGTTAGCGATATGAGGTTGAGTAAGTGCTCTAAGCTAGCCAATGATCGCACAGAATTCCCATGCCTAGTTCATGATGCACATATGTCTCTATCCTTAAGCTGGAACAAGTTGCTGCCTTATCAAAGTGCCCGGGACTTTGAAACTATTTCGTCTCGATCATTCACTAACGTGAATAAAATGCCCTTTTTTAACATAAAAAGACAGAATGATCTCCGCATCAACCAACATATCTTTCTCACTCCTACATTTGAATGGGCCGCTAGAACTGATAATTACGATTTTATAAACAATGTTTCGTCATATTTCCTTATTTAGTAAATGAAACTCAACGTTGGGAAAAACTTCTCAGTGCCAGATCATGTACATATACAAAATACCTCCTTGCATATGCTCAAATATGGGACGAACAAGATCCTGAGAGTGAGTTTGCTTGCTGTTTCCGACTATGTATTGATTAAACTTTCAGCTAAAGTACTTTAATGACAGTTAATTGGGTTTCTGCGTCTACAATATATATATATATATATATATATATATATATATATATATATATATATATATATATATATATGATCACTAGATATTACTGAGATACAGTTTACTCTATGTCTGAAAGGAGGAAAAGACAGAAGTTCCATTGAAGATTGGAGACCACATCACCGTCGGAGCGATAACATTTCTGTCTCAAATAGTTGTCCACCTGACAGTAGACGTTTGCAACTGGATATTCATAGGGAGGCTGGACAACTTTAAGATAATTGTGAGAATCGCGGTCTAAATAGGTTTTAATTAGAAAACGTCATGTGGGTAAATGACGCACTATAAATGGACACAGGGCTTTAGGAAGCACATAAGCTGGAAATTTGGGCCAATAACGATAGAAATTACCGAGGATTGGGAGAAGTAGCCAAGTGGGCTTATTAACCATAATTCCCTGACTTAGAGACATATGAAGATGAGAATATGTCCTCACTCAGCCAACAGCGTTGTTCTCACATGTTCAGTTCGTGTTCAGCAAGCATGCTGGCCACACTAAACAAGGCAAGTCAGTATAGGCTAGTATTATTATTATCTTAAAAACCTCCAGCTAGTTAGATGGCACCGAAGACTTAGCTTACGGACGTACTTAAGGGTTATCGAGTTCGAATGTCACGCAAAGAACCCTGAAGTATGGTCTGGATAGAGTTAGGGCAGAGTTTCAATATTTCCTTAATAATGAGTATTAAAAAATAGGAAGTTGTGGGACACGTCATCGCATGCGTGTACACATAGGCTTGAGGTGCGGCCGTACAATTTCGCGTACGGACTGAGGACAAGAGCACGCAGCCAATAGCAGCTCAATGCCCCCTTTTTGTTTTACCGGAAGCCGCCATGTGGTATGACTGGGTTCCCTTCCTGTACACACTTCTTGCGTGGTTTATCTACTGAATAAACGTGCTCCGTGCTAAACGTCTGCTTCCTTCATAGCTGGGCTATAGCTTAGCTGGTTCTGGGAGTCTAGCTAGATGTTGGAGAATTTGCCATAGAGATTTCTGAGTCAGTCAGGCTTTACTAAGGTAGCAATCCGCTACAAAGTATAGGTTGGTATTTTTTTATTAAATATTAAAGCACATTAAATAGCCAAAAACTGTTTTTGTTTTAGTTTTCAAATAATTTCTGTTTATTACTTTTAGCACTGGTTACCGGGTGTGGTGGCAGCTTCGGTCAATTAAGTAATATATAAGTTGTTTTAATAATATACATATTTAGAAATGTTTGATTATTTACCGATATGAATGACATTGACAAGGACATGGATATATATATTTAATCAAGAATTCAATTTATTGTTTTCTTCAGTTCGTCACAATTCTCCTGTGAATATCACACAACATGCAGATATAATTTGCTCAGGCTTAACTCGAGTTTCACATTTGAGGTAATTTGAAATCAAATTTACTTTGATTTTTTATTAAATGCAAATTGGTGTCCAAGAGCGCTTATATGAGAGCTCACATTTTTAAACGCTTGCCTTGTTTATTATTTCTAATGTAATCGATGTTTACAGTTATTATTATTACTCTTACTATTATTATTGTCCCGGGGCTAATGGTAAACATCATAAAGCCCGTCATTTCATATAAATAAATTATTATTGTCCTTTAAGATTTCAGAAAAAATATATTCATAAAATATTTGTTTATTGAATAAGCCAAGTAATCATTGTAGTAATATAAATTTATCATGCTTTATCAATAATTTTCACTAAACTTAGTCCTGATTGCCGAGTAAAGATAGACGAACAGGACACAGGAACAGATTTAGTTGAATTGACAGTTTATCCAGTATTCCAAAGCTGTACAACGGTGAGATTAGCTGAGGACGAAATTGTGATGCCTCCGAAAGCACCATTTAGTCCTCCTCGACCCTGTCCTCCCGGCACATTCATGAGCAAAGTTCCACCAATTAGGGTTTGTAATGAAATTACTAAAGCTTGATATTATATTAATAAATTGCCATTTTACTAATAACGACACCTGAAAGATAATAGTTAAAATTACCAATTCACAACTTTAACTATTTTCTATTTATATTTATTCCTGTCTTTATTGGAATTCGAAGTTATTTCTTCATAATTTATTTGAATATTGATCGTGTCTATAGTGGTTGAATGAATATTCGTACAATGCTTAATATATTTTAATTAATAATGGTTGGATACTTTTCTTTTCATGCCAGTGACATTAACCACTGTTGAATGAAAAAATTAATGTCGTATTTCAGTGTGAACCATGTCCAGCTGATACATTTTCGGATCAAGATACAGAGCCTACAGATTGCCTTCCTTGTAGTGCTATGCGTAGTACTACTCATGGTTCGGCAATGTCGTCATCTTTACATTGTACTAACCCTCTCCTCGATCAAGAACGGGAAGTAAGTCAACTTGAAGTGCATTTGAACAATGAGCGCAATAACATGTTACCTGATTTCCTCCACTAGTTTTATTCTTAACATAAGTTTTATTGGCCCAGCAAAGAGAAAATGTATCTGAAATATCGTGTGTTCAACAATCTTATTGGTAAATAAGTATCTTAACACTAAATATTTACTTTTAAAAGGGGACCAAACTTTCTCTTTTCCTTAACTTCTGAACTCCTCCACTAGACTTCGTAGGTTCTCTTTGGGGCTCCAGTGTTCACCTTACAGGGGTGAAGGAGCTAACTCCATTCTATGAATTTAGCAACCTTTAAGGCCATAACTTTTGGTCACTGTGGTGTCTAGATATTATAATCCAAGATATAAGTAAAAATCCTCTCCAAATATATCAGCAAAATTCCTTATTTACATCGTATGGACCTTTTGTACATATCGACATAACAAAAAATTTTCATGATCTACTTAGATGGAATCTGCTCAGTAGGAGTTCACGCCAAAGTTTCTGGAGTTTTCCCATTGTATTGGATTACTGAACCTCCACTGACAAAGAACATAAATGGAATATGTATAAAAATTAATATAAAATTCTACCTATATCTAAATTATTTAACCTAAACCTGACCTACTGAAGTTGATTGGATTATGAAAGATGCTGATAATGCCTGAGGGCAATGCTTTGCCACCTCCTAAGTTCGCCTTAACCTCATTTTCAAAAGAACAACAGGTGTAGGATGCTATTTATCAGTCACTTTTCCACTTATTATAACTCCGGATCTGGATGAATAGCTAAAAAACATGGCAAACATTGGCGGTGGTAGAAAGGATAAAAATGATTTCTTGTTTTAGCGGCTTGTACGTAAATTCGCGAGTCGAAGTCCTCCAGACATGTTACTTCTCTACCCACCAATTGAAGATTTTGATTTGTTTGGCAACGGTAGCATTTTGAATGAGACAGAATTGATGGACTACCTATCGCCCGATCCATTCTTGTTGGACCAACAGAGAGTAGCTGTAGACTTATTCAAGGTTCATTGAATGATTTGATGGGAGATACTAACTAAAGTAGAGATTTCCTTAAAATATCTTTTTTTGAAATTTCAGGCAATAACACAATTGACATTTTCAGATAGAGAGATTTTCGGGATGATTTTGATTGCCATTGCTCTAGCAGTCATAATAGCACTATTGGTGTTTATGGTCGCCATTACAGGTCACCGAACATCATACAGAGAACATCAAGAGTCCCTATTCATTCGAGCTGAAAAATGGATAATACACCGCTTACATAAACTCTGGCTTAGAGTAAGTAATACTAATTATTATTCCTAAGCTGTTATTTTAAAAATTATATATTCAATATTACCATATCTTATTGGTTTTATTATTATTATTATTATTGTTATTGAAGATTATAAAACTGGATATGTCAAATTGAACACTTTTAGTTTCGTCGGTTTTTCACTAAATTGTTCCATCGTCGCCGCGACAATCGTCCGTCATGGATAAGACGAAAGAGTATGGCGTTGAAATCAGGAAATATATATAAAATTCAAGCAGCGCAAGCAGGGGAAAACGAGGCTAATTACTATTATCAGATGCGCATAAAGTTGAAAAACATAATGCTTGCCGATCCGAATTTCGTGGAGCGGACTGAAGGAGAAAAGAATATGAATACTCGGCAATCTATTTATGCTGAGTTCAAGGGGGGTGTTCCTGATATTCCAGATTACACTCCAATTCACAAGATGAAATCGTCATTAAGAAAGTAGAATAAATGCCACAGATGTATTGCTATGGATGTTTGATGTTTATATATCTATAATTAGAAAATGCATGTTGATTGTCGAGGTTTCATTTTATTATTTCACACTCAGCTTTAATTATAAAGACCAACATTTACAACTAAATTCAAAGCATAGACAATGGAATCATTCAAGTTTAGTAAAGTCTTATATAACGGTTAAATATGCGCCAATAAGAATTAAAGGGCAACTTACTACCCGTTCAAATAGGAGAATATATAGTTGCTTTATGCAATAAGTCTTGTCTTCGAATCAATCAGCGTTAAGTAAATGGCCTAGACTATTCTGCCTAGATAGCAAAATAAGCAACCAACAATAGTGAAATATTAAAGCTTAGCAAAATTAATCGTGAAAAAATAGAATAGGTACCTGAGAGTGAGATTTGGTAGGATTAATCAAGGTAACGACGGAGGTAAATCGTTGACAACGTATTGAATTAAGACTTTCCAGCGTAATATTGAAATAGATTAAGTGAATAGAAATAGACATACTTACAAATACCACTGACATAGATGTTTTAAGAACAAAAAATACAGAAAAGAAAATTGAATCGGATATCTCTAGATAGCGGAAAGATATAAATTAAAAGGGAATATAAATACAAAACGGTTGGCTTATAAAAACGCGACTAAATATAATGTGAAGAAAAATATGAATATAGCGTTTTTACTCTTTAGCTAATAGACGATAATGTAATCAAAAACGAAATTTATTTATTTATTTAAGACAGTCAACCTTGACAGTTTTACGTTATCAAACGTGGGCAACAACGCTTGCTCGCTAAATTAAATAAGCTATTAGAATTAGATAAATTAACTCAGATATGCCAGGTGGCATAAAATGTGGTAACCTTATGCACTTTTATATTTAAAAGGATCACGATTTAAGTCTATTACAAAGTCAGGTCATGTCCAGAATGTACACAACACCCTATGTGAAGATGTTTATAAAGAAGTAAATTTGGATAATAATTACGCATTCATTTAGCTTTCAAACCTCCAAACTGCAAATCAGATGAGCAATGAACTAGTGCAAAAAACAGTCAGCGAACTTAAGTAAATATAATTATTGGTAAAATATTTTAGATGTCAATTTCTCCAGAATTATTCAGCTTTCGGATTATTTTGCAAGAATAGTCAAAATTTTTTGAAAACAAAAATTAAGGTCCTTGTTCGTTTGCTTTAAGAAATATTCAAAATTAGGAAAAAAAATCATTATAATTTTTTATATAGAGTATATGCAGATATCAGTGCAATTCGAACGACACAAACAAAATAAGTCGTGGTACTCAGACTCTATACCGAGACTCTGAAGCACAGACCATTCCCTACTCTCCCGAATATACAATTCCAGTTGGTAAAAGCCCACGGATTCTTCATCTCGCTAATCTTAAATATGGCAGTGGATTGCCAGTCGGGCTAAAGGAACTTGATAAAATTGAACGGGAAGAAGAGAGACGAGCAATGGAGGCAATAATTGCTACACTTCCATTGAAAGAGAGAATTCGAATGCGTCGTAATTTCGAGGTCGAGGACTGGGAAAAAAGAGCTCTTGAAATAGATGCGTAAGTATATTTGTCAATTAGGGCTACCAACTCATTTCATTGTGAAAGAACTAAGTTGAACCCCTCTTTCCTTGAATGTAGTCTTCAGGAGCTTCGATTTCAGGTTATAACTCAGCTTATGTGTAATCAACAAAAGAATCGTGAGGCAATAAATAACAAGAAACTTCACAGGTTACTGGTTCAACGAGAAAAACAGAAAGTTAAAGCTATTGAAAAAATTCGCTCAAAATGCGCTGAGGGTTTGCTACAATTTTAATTTCTGAATTTCAAACTCTTTACTTAATTTACATAAGTAACATAGCTTAATATTCTATTTACTAGAAATCCGTAGAATGATTTACAATAGGGAGAAGAAACAACGCGGTCCAAAACCCGACATGATCGATCTATTTTCAGAGCCCTGCTTGCCAACGCTCCTTTCTGCTCCTCGGAAAGGGGGTAAAGAGGGTATATTCAAAGTTCGTAGCCAGTTCCTTGAAACTCTCGAAGGTGATTAGTGCTATTTATATTTCCCCTTTTGCGTTAATAATTTATTAAGCTATTATTTTATTGATTGATAATATTTGATTATTCGAATTTTCACTCCCAATACCCCTAAAGCATATATACATATATATTCGCTCTGAGTAGAGTGGTAGCGCTATAGAACTCTCTGGTGGAAGGTGTGAATTAATCCTAGAAGTCACTGTTTGTTCATTTCGCGCACTTAGTGGGTGGCAACTGATTTTCGGCCCCGTGTCCCTTGACTTTACAAAAAGTCGCAAAATCGTCAAACTCCGTACTTTTATTGCTAATCAGATATAAATTAAAGATTTCATGGGGTTTTAATGTTGCCCTGTTTTATAACAGGTCTTTCGGAAATGGAAAAGTTAATTTCTGACAAAACGAAGAACATTCAGATAGACATCAAGACAGCTTCAAAGTACAACAAAGACGGTTCTCTAAAGCAGTTTGCTCGTTGGCAGAGCAAGCTGGAATCCTTGCATAAGGTAAGCATTTGACAACCTAAAAACATATTTTCCATTGAAATTGTCAGTTTTTCAATTTATAGGTGCTTTTTTATTTTTACATTTACAGTACATGGAAGCCCAACGCTGTACTGATACCGAACCACCCAAGCCTTTCCGCTATCTATTCAGAATTGAAAAGCACCCACCTCGACCTCTTACTCCTTCGATTCCAGAAATTGACGTAAGTGCGATTTTCGTTTATAAAAAAGATGATTGTACTGGCAATAGCATAGTTTCGTCCTAAAACAGTTCCATGAAAATGCTTGAGAAGCCCACTAGAGGTTAATTTTAAATGAAATTAAATGGATCAAAGTCACAAGTACTGTAGTGATTTGCAGAAACCAATAGAGTGATAGCCACCAGCATATACGTCTGTCCCAACAGTGCTGAATGATTTGATCAACATCGGTGTACATTTATTGAAAGGACTGACTTTGCCTAAAATGCTTTTATAATTTAATAGATACATGTCGACATGGAGTTTACAGAGCATTCATCTTTTTTCCTAAAGGAGCATCACAAAATGCTCCCTTAGTGACCTTGTTGTGCCACATAACTACCAAATACGGATGTCCAACGTCTGGAATTGCTAAATATTTCACCAAGAAGTCGCTTAATTTGCCATAATTTATGAGCCTAATTTAGGCCCAATTGCATCATATTGGCTTAATAAACGGACTCCATTTCGTTCATACCTAAATGGAAACGTATAGCCGAGTTAGAGGGAGTCAATGCGATGATTAGAGAAGAATGTAGACACTGAGGAAATGTGTTCTGAGTCAAGAAATTCACTTGTAAGTTAATAAATAGGAGGTGGGCAGTTGAAACGTCTTCGAGCCAACATTAGTATTAATGAAATTTTAACTTGGAAAGATCACACTTGAAATATTCTTGATATCTTAAATAATAGCTTTATATATCTTTTTTATTTAATTAATATTCTACAAAGTACAGCCAAGATATAGGGGGGGGGGACTAAAAGTTAAGTCTATCAAATGTGATTGTTATTTTTCTTGGAACCAGTTATTTCTGCCCAAATTTTAGAAATCAAAAGAAGAGGTTAATGTGGCAATACTCAATTTGCAAAGACTAATCCGTGGTCGCGCTATCCAAACCATGATGCGCGAGGCCAGGCTAAGGCGACAGCTCCTAATCGATGAACTACGATCTACTCATGCCTTAGTTAAAGACGAGCGAGCCGAGAAACGCCGTCAAATGCTTCAAATTCGAATAGAGCAGACTCGATTTGAGAATCTCAAATATGAGGTAAGCAATTGAAAATATTTAAATAGACATCTTCCCTTTGGTGTTTTTAATTTTAACATTAATATACTTCCTTTGGTAGAACGATAAAACTCACGAAATTCTTGAGCGACTAGATACCACAGTTCTTGGAAATATGTTAGATCTCCTGAGTAAAGAACTTGATCGACTGATTGTGGATCAACGACTTAGTGAGTTTGTTCATCGTGCTCGGGAGGAACGAAGAATGCGAGAAGTTGAGGAGAGTTCAAGACGTCAATGGGAATTACGAAGAAGGCGTGAGCAAGAAGAGTTCTTCAAACAAGTGAGCTTATTAAATGTGATAACTTAAACTCTTAAGCGCTTGATATATGAAGGGTGTTGATCGCTTTTCGAATTTAAGCATTTATCCAATTTATGCAACTTTCGATGAAAGACAATTGTGGAGTATTTATTACCTTAGTCGAATTGTTGGGGTTACTATAAAGTGAATATCCCATTCTTTGAGAAACCGAATAGCATGGTAAATAAATAATGCCAAAACTCAAATGAGCTGAAAGTCATAACGATTTCGCCCATATTCAGAGTCATTGATATACCACATGGTAAGAGCTTGCTGTAGCGCCAGTTAAATCAATATCCAAAAGTCACTAAACTATAAACTTCGATTTTGTTTAAATTAACAGCCCGAATATTCATTAACTATTTAAATTCTCGGTAGATATAAGTGGGACCCGTTATTTTGATAGTTCGTTTCCCTCACCTTAGAAAATCGATAATGAATATATCCCTCCTTCTTTCTAGCAGGAAGACTTACCAATTTTAGCGTTCCTAATAAATATAAGAGAGCAACTTTGGGTTGTTTCTTATCTGCTAAGATTAAAATGTAATAAATAACTTGGAATTTGCAAGTTGCATGTAAATAAGTTTTAAAAATTAACTTGAGATGGAGACGATTATGTCAGAATGGGATTTTAATTTTTTGTTATTAGAAACATTTGTATAACTGAAGAAAAATGTGAGGTTGCTGGAGTTTTAATAAAACCATGGACATCGATGTCAGGAAAATATAGGCTAACTATTTGAGTAAGGTAACAGTTTACAATGTTATTTAATAAAATTTATTTATATCGAATGGCAGGCGTGTTGATGGTTGTCATTAGCCCTTTAGTTGGCTTCATGCTTCACAGAGGGGAAGGAACATCAAATTGAAAAATTCGAGAGGGGGGGATGCAGAAGAGTGTTTCAAAGATGTAAGAGAGACAGACACAAGGGTAGAAAAAAGGAAAGGTGAGTACTGTGAAAGTGGTGGAATATGACTTACGGTGGGGTGATGGTAGTATGAAGCCAGAAGTCAACTGTCGGTGAATCGGCTTTTTCGCTGCATGGATATAGGTTGCCCAGGGTACACCTCGTAGAGGTAAATCTATCACTCACCCCCTAATTTAATAAAATCGTTTATTGTAGAATAAAGGTTAGAATATGATTCGATCTTGATCTTTCCTCAGAATTAAATGTTACCATAATGGTATAAATACAAATCTTCTTGTAAATATAAATATAAATATAAATATATATATATATATATAGCACTTTCTTTCAAAGCCTCTTCAGGTCAAAGATTGCCGTGTGTTGTGACAATAGCATTGTTAAGCCAATTCCGATGCCATAAGTCTATAAGATAAGTTTAAACGTGATAATTTTCGGTCGGAACGTTTTACTGCGATTTCTATCCCCTCTGATCAAATGCAACTTTAGCTTGGAAAGTCATGAGCTCTGAATGAAATGTCTGTAACTTTGAAAGCACATTTTCCTTCATTCAGGGTCCTTTCCCCGTGATTTAAAGGAAGTAGTTAAATTATAGCGTCTTTTAAACTCCCCCGCCCCCAAATTTAAATAGAGTCGCAAAGTCCTTATGAACTCTTATTAATATAATTTTTTATAACTCCATTCTTTACCTCCTTCAGATTCTTAAAGTGCACCAGGATACAGCTGATGGATATTTTGAAGCTCTTCTCAGTTATGCCATGGAATATTCAGCAGAACTGATAGCCACTGATGAAATTGAGGAACTTGCCAAACAGTGGACAGTAGACGTCAAGGAAACAGAACAAAATCTGACTCATGAAGAAGAGGCTGCTGAATTAGTCTACAATTTCCTTATTCCTGAGGTATGGGTAGACTACTTAAGTGTTTAATCAATAGCCAGTTATTATCAATTTCTTCCAAAAGAGCCCGATGTATTAATTGATATCTTTCCTTAGAATTCACTTCTTGTTAACAGTTCAAGTATCGTATTTCAAAAAATTTGATCAGATGCATCACGCATCCCGTCCGCCTGATTCGTTTGAATGGATACTGGCGCCTAAAAAGCATATCCAAGTGAAGAGTTGAAAGAGAATTTTCTTTTTTGATTAGATTTATAAGGTTTTCCTTTTGTCGAAGGTTATTTTAAATATAAGTTTTGACATTCCTTATATAAACCTCATTGAATACCCATATTTTGCTTTCTAAATGCAACATGATTTTAATTCTAAAGACTTCGACTATGCATTTTACGTCAATCAAAGAACTATGGAAGTAGTGAATTGCCGGCATTTATTTGTGTTTAGCTCTCATGAATAAAATTCTCTGATTGAATTCTCTCACAGGCGTCTGTGAGCTATTCCAGTGACCCCACATTCAGTCTCAGGAACTCAATTCGGAATTTGATCAGCAGTTTATTTTCCAATGATTCATCTAAAGTCTCATTCAGTGGGTATAATTGAGAGCTTACACACAAATAATAGGTTCAAAAATCAAGCATTAAGAGATTTGCAATTTCCAAAGATCCTATGCACTATTCGCGTTAAACAAGCTGATGGCAGCCTTGAAGGTAGGGAGATCTGTTCGTCTATTTTATAAATTTAGTCGTGTATACCATTTTGACAGTGTTTCAGTAAATCAATTTTCATCACTCAAAATACAAAGTTCCACTTTAAAGGAAATAAATAACGAACATTGAAATTTTATTTATATCAAATGGTGGAATATGACATACAATGGGGTGATGGTAATTTGAAGTGAGAAGTCAACTGCCGGTTAATAGACTTTCTTGCCGTATGAGTATACGTTGCCCAGGGTGCACCACATGAAGGTAAGTCTACCGCACACCCCTTATATGGAAGATATAAATACCCTTCACCCCTCAGTGAAATTCAAAATTGCTAATTTTCAGACTAGAAGTGACCAATATAACATTGTATGAATTTCTGCTCCACATTAGTAAACACCAGTATTAAATTCGAACCACCAATTAATAGGCGTTAGGGAAAGGCAAATTGTCATATAGTAAAACGCCGTTGACAACACTGCTCATAATTTCTTTTAATGCAACCTTTACTGCAGCGCTGTTCAGGTCTGGGAGTTGTATATAATTAAACCAATTATAAAGATTAGTAAAATGACTTAAACCTGAGCTGAAAAATTGCAAATAAAATCTCGAGTTCCCCGAATCAAACTCCTCACAATTATTATCCTAATACACTCCCTGATTTGTTTTAAAACGAAGTCATTAAAGCACTTGTTTATCCATTTCTTCCAGAAAAAAATTTCGCTGATGAATTCTAAACTGCCCAACTATTACCAAAGTTGAACATGATATTCCATGTGTTTAAGAAAATTTAATGAATTACAATTCTCCCTTATTTCTTGAAATCCTCACCAATTCAAATCACTTATCAAAAAAATTCTAGGCACACTTGACTTCAATGGAGGTTAAATGTCCCAAGGCCCCTCTTTGTGGGAACGACCACCCACCTCACTCAATTTGTATCGATTAGTATCGATTTCACAGTCTCTGAGTTGGGAGAAGTCCACACGAATTTCAAGATATTCATTTTCATACACTCGATGCTCAATTAGAATTGAAGAATTATAATTTCTTCAGTTTGTATTCACTGTTTATTGCAATTTCCCTGGGAGTGTTCTTTTCAGTGATTTTTCGCGTTTTTGTCCCAGGATTACGCCAAAATGCATGTGCTAACACTTACACTTTTCCAAAGTGCACAGAGTTGAAAGCAATTCTTGCAATTTGCACATGCCGACTTAGTGTATATTTTTTCTAGTTAATTAAAATTCAGAGGGTGTGATTTTATAAAACGCCACTGAGATTTGAAATTTTACGCATTTTCTTGCTTTTAACTTGCTGGAAATGTCATATAATGCTATGTAACTTGTTAATCTTGGCAAAGAAACTGACACCCAACTGTCTTAAAATGAGCAATGATTTGAAGGTGTTGCTAAGATGTTACGACTCGAACTGACTTAAAATGCACTTTAAATTAATAATTAAGCATGTTTTAAAGTTGGATTTGCACAGAATACTACCACATTAAGAAGAATATTCAGATCACTAGTTAGTGTTGACTAACGTACCATTTCATTGTAATTAACGCTGGTCATCTAGAGGTGTACTTCATGTGATCCTCTCATAAGAGGGGCTCGAAATGCTTCAAATGTGCTCAAATAAATTGCTGTTAGGATTTCTTGCATTTAGGAAGTAACTGTTTGATGTTACTGCTTGGAATCGCTTTATCTAGTAAAGATATGGCAATGAGAGCTGGTATGATCAAACATAATTGCCTATCCATTTCCCTCTAATAGATAATGTTACGTCATTTATTTTTTAAAATTCATCAGAAGGTAACTATTTTATGCATATATCTAGGTTAATCGACGCTTCTATCGTGAAGAACTCCAACGCCAAGAACGTAAGTATCTGAATGCCGCGCATCAAGAAATATTCGACGAGCTTGAATCCAACCAATTGAGTGCTCAAATCCGTGGCTACCAGGAGTTGAGGATAGATCAAAGTGTATCGGTGGATGATGAAGCGATCAACAATGAGATGATGGCACCAAATGCTGACGAGCAAGTCGAGGACTCTTCTTTAGATGCGAAGTAAAAAAGTGTTCCAACCACCTCTATTACCAACACTTATTAGTCTGAAGATCTATTCGCAAACATACTCACAATTTGAAGCATCTTAACAGCGCGAAATGCGCAAAAGAGTTGGTAATAAATCATACAGAACTCTTCTTTGACATATTGTTGCTCTCTTTTCGCCAATGATGAAAGGAGGCTGATGAAATGAAAGTGCCATCTTCTGTCGATTTGACAGAACTACTCAAAATGCTATCAGGACATTGGGTAAATTTATATAGGGAAGTTCTTCGCAATACAAATTCATCTGCGAACGCTGAGTATTCTACCTAGTATTACTAGTTAAAGAGGGGACAATATTGTTCTAGTTGCTCATCAAGGTGGCTTTACTGAGCATTCACTGGCCAACCAACCGTAGGATCAGTTCTCATAGAACTCGCTAAGTGGTGCTGATGAGCCATCTTACGGGCTAATACTGACCAACATACAAGTGAGAGAATGTGAGTTTCTCGATAGATTAGCTCCAAGCCATATCAAAGCGTATGATTGGAGATTCTTATATGCGCTCATAAATACCTTCCATTCACATTTTCCATTTTTTCGGAGGAGTCATTTTGAGGCCCGGATTTAATTAATATCAAGGTATTTTGATGTTGACTTTGTGTGACAATAATTGAATTGTTATGGTGAATGTTTGAGAAACAGTGTAAAAGCCACTCATTATCTTGTTTACAAGGACAAAATTTTTCACACGAAATCCTTGTGAATTCTTTGGCATGAGCCTAGAATCTTGACTCTTTACAGTAGATGCAAAAATTAGCTGAAAATTACAGTTTAGTTGTGTGAAATATGTGCGCGTTTTGCAAGTCACATCAGCTCGCTAATGGTATATACTTTGCTGTCAATTTCTGATCTTATATTTGGTGTTGTAATAAGTAAAGCTTTCTAGCCAATTGAAAATTATTATATATAAAATTTCAATTATTTTAAATAAATAAGCATAGTTATTGTGGTATTAAAAGGCACACTTCAGTAGTTGTGTCAATTTCAGCTGAGAGACAAGGACCTTAACTGTGTGACATCACTAATTTCTGAAAGAAAAACGAGGGTCTGTGGAAAAACTATGTGATTCCATTAATTTGTAAGTAGCAAATGAGTTAATCAACAAGTTAGTCCTATCACAGGAGTCGATTTTTCTTTCAGTGAACAGATCATTTGGAAGTGATCTCAATCTACATGGATCGTTGGAAGTAAACGTTGCGGGATCTTGTTACTGTAACATCAGATAGTAACGAACCTTGACTTTGACGTAAAGGTGATATGAATATGAGCAAATCTTGCCTCGAATTTTCTCCTGATTTTCTCACATTTTGTAGACATTAACATTCCTTAAAATGCTTCTAAAATTGAATCGATAGCCCTTCATTCCTAACTATTGTGCTCAAATTAGCTTAATTTCTTTTTTATCGTTGGAAACATTTCTTATCAACGTTTAGTATTAGTTTAATTCTTGGCGATAATTCAATAGGTAACAAGTCCAACAAATTTTCGCTTTTTTAAATGTAAAACACCCCATTACTATAACCAAATATTTCCTTTTTAAAAGGATTTACTTTTAATAAATCGATTCTGAGTTAGCTTGATCGTAAATAATAAACTAAAATCATTAATACGCTTTCATTCTTCAAATAATTGCCTGTGCGATAGACTTACCTCCGCGTGGTCCACTCTGGGCAAAAATGCCTATAAACCGATAGTTGAATTCCGACTTCAAACTACCATGACCCCACTGTATGTCATATGCCACCACTTACACAGAACTCATCTTACCTTTTTTTCTACCTTTGTGTCTGTCTGTCTCTTTCGAATCTGTGAATCACTTTTCTGTTCCCTCTCACCACTTTTTGCGACTTTGATGTTCCTCCTTTCTGTGAAACTCGAAGTCAAATGAAGGGCTAATGACAACTATCATAAAGTCTGTCATTAGAAATAAAAAAATTCATCAAATAATTAGTCTACATTCGTATCAGGGCCAGAAATCAAAATGAAATATTTAAGTGTACCTAAGCCCAGCTTCCGTGGTTGGATTCGAGAGTTTGCCGATCACTTGATTTGATTTGCTTGTCCATTTCACACCAGGGTTCATAGAGGTTATATGAGGTGAGTTAAGGCGTTTTAAGCAATAATTATATGTGAGTTTCAGTTGTTTAAAGGTATTAATGTGTAAAAATTATCAAATATTCTTAGCCATGAGAAGATTCTACAATTTTGATTGAGAAAACGATATTCCTATTTCTCTTAAGAGCAACTTTTAGCGATCATTTCGCCTGGAAGGATGAGATTCTCCATCTAATGGCTGAATGACAGGGTTGATGTTTATGCAGATTACATAAGTGTGAAAAGATTCAATAGTAAAGTCATTACAATTGTAGGGGGCAATTAACTGTTATTCTATCGAATTGGTCCAACTTACCCGATTTTATTTTGATTGAACTCTAGTGAACTATGATATATTGAAAGTTTAATTATATCGAATGGCAGGCGTTTTGATGCTTATCATTAGCCCTTTAGTTGACCTCGGGCTTCACAAAGGGGAGGAGGAACATCAAAATGAATAAAGTCGAGAGGGGGGAGGGGTGAAACAGAAGAATGTTTCAAAGGCGAAGGTTGAAAAGGTAGAAAAGGATGAGGTGAGTACTATGCAAGTAGACGAATATGACATGCATTGGAGTGATGGTAGTTTGAAGTCAGAAGTCAACTGAAGGTTAATAGACTTTTTTTGCCGTATGAGTATGCGTTGCCCAGGGTGCTCCACGTGGAGGTAAGTCTATACTCTATACTTCTATACTCTTTTTTTCTTACAATGGTTTATACTATGGGACACGTTATCGCGTTTTCGCCATCGTATGCTTGCATTTCTGCTCGCCAGGATTGGGAGGTGCGGCCGTACAACTCTGTGTGCAAGCCAGGATTGGGAGGTGCGGCCGTACAACTTTGTGTGCAGTTCGCCAGGATTGGGAGGTGCGCCGTATAACTCTGTGTGCAGCGATCGTACAAACAGGTGCGGCCTTACAACTCTGTGTGCAGCGACTGTACAAACAGTGATCATAAAGTAACCTCCCTAATCCCCATCCTGATCATGAGTAGCTCCCTGCGTGTACTCTTGATCCGCAATACCCGTACTGAATGAACGTTCTCCGTGCTACACGTCCTAATATGCTCACTGAATAGACGTGCTCCGTGCTACACGTCTGATACCCGTACTGAAAAAACGTGCTCCGTGCTACACGTCTGAATCCGTACTGAATAAGCGTGCTCCGTGCTACACGTCTGTTTTCCCGTATCGAATAAACGTATTCCTTGCTACACGTCTGTTTTCCGCTACTGAATAAATGTTCCGTGCTACACGTCTGTATCCTCTGTAGAATAAACGTGCTCCGTGCTAAACATCTGTTTCCTTTATATGCAATATACGTACCGAATAAACGCATTTCGTGCTACACGTCAGTTTCCCTTATAGCTGGACTATAGCTTAGCTATTCTGGGAGTCTAGCTAGATGTAGGAGAATCTGCCACAGATATAAACGCGCTCCGTGCTACACGTCTGTTTTCTTTATAGCTGAGCTATAGCTTAGCTGTTCTCTAGCTAGAGGTTGGAGAATCTGCCATAGAGATTTCTGATTCCTAGCTAGATGTTGGAGAATCTGCCATAGAAATTTCTGAGCCGGTAGCTAGATGTTTGAGAATCTGCCATGGAGATTTCTGAGTCGGTCTAGATGTAGGAGAATCTGCCAAAGAGATTTCTGAGTCAGTAGGAGGACCTGCCATAGAGATTTCTGAGTCAGTCAGGCTCTACTAAGGTAGCAATCCGCTACAATACGATATCCCACAGTTGGTGAATAGTAAATATAGGACAGATTGAAAAAATATAAGTTAATAAATCCCTATAGGCTGAAAGGACCCAAAGTAAAATGTCTATCTGTTATGATATGTTAAAAGGGACGTGCATTAGACTTACCTGCACGTGGTGCACCCTGGGCAACGTATACTCTTGCGGCAAAAAAGTCTATTATTCGGCAGTTGACTTCTGACTTCAAACTACCATCACTCCAATGCACCTCACCCTTTTCTACCTTTTCAACCTTCGTCTTTGAAACACTCTTCTGTTCCACCCACCCCCTCTCGACTTTTTCACTTTGATGTTCCTTCCCCTCTGTAAAGCCTGAAGTCAACTAAAGGGGTAATGATAACCATCAAAACGCCTGCCATTTTAAATAAATTGAGTGACGTATCTTTCATGACATGCCGTGGGGATCTCATTAAAGAGTAAATCAAAAACTGCCGAATCCTAAAGTGAAAGGATCAATGACAAGCGTTGAAACCCATAAGGCATGTTTTGAGTTATACCTCAAATAAATGCGGTTGAGTTTGTCTAACAGGCACTGCCTCTTTATCAATTGTGACCGCCTTCTTCCTGACCCAGCAGTCTTGTATTATGAGTCTGATCTGAGTATGGTAGAGCTATTTGACACTTAAAGCTAACTGTCAAACACAAAAATTCTGGGTTCTAACGGAATTTTTAATTGCATGTTTTTTCGCAGCAAGCGCAATAATTCTGTTTATTCTTCACGTATGAATTGGTTTATTACCTAATCTGAAAAAATTACTTATGCTGTGACTGTGGTAATTCAAAAAAAGCGAATTTGAGACTTCTCATTCTCCTTCTTCTCTCATCCCAAATAGTGGGAATTTCATGATTAAGAGTGGGAATTTCTATCACAAAGACACTTTTTTCCATCCAAATTTTTATAGAGAATTAAGCGCTGACGAATCGGCATTCCTGTTAGACACATCTACTAATATCCAAGATAATTTATTTATTTATATCAAATGGCAGGCGTTTTGATGGTTATCATTAGCCCTTTAGTTGACTTCAGGCTTTACAGAGAGGAGGAGGAACATCAAAGTGAAAAAAGTCGAGAGGGGGGGACAGAAGAGTGTTACAAAGATGTAAAAGAGTCA